CGGTGTGTGAAAATAAACCTGCAAAAATATTTCCCTACCGCAAGTGGCGCAATTCTATTTTCACATGAATTGGTCAGTTTGTGGTAAAAAAATTTACCATGGAAAAAATTTTCATATATATATTTATCGAATACCAAACATGTATAACATAATTTCCACATGAAAATATTTTCATACCTACCAAACGTGCCCAAGTCAAAGTTGAGCTTAAGCCCTCTTTCCATAAGAGGTTACCATTATACATAATTTCCACATGAAAATATTTTCATACCTACCAAACGTGCCCAAGTCAAAGTTGAGCTTAAGCCCTCTTTCCATAAGAGGTTACCATCCAGAGGATCACACAATTTTCCTGTTACTAATTGCAATCAGGTCGGTGAAATTAGTTGAGAAGAATTCTTTGGGGAAGATGGAGAACTCTGGAATGGCATGTGCCCAATAGACCACCCCAGACAGAATGGTCTTTATTAGGCACTGTGGATTTTCCATCAAAGGTTCTAACATTTCTTTCTTTCAACATAGCCCATAAAGTAGCAGCAATTAATATTTGCCACAAATTTTGCACATTTATTTCTTTCAACATAGCCCATAAAGTAGCAGCAATTAATATTTGCCACAAATTTTTCCCTTGTTTCGAGAAAGGTCGTGACAAAAAATAGGCAAAGAACTGCATAATGTTACCTGACATAATCCACTTCCATCCAATTATGCTCCTTTCCAATCCTAAAGATAGCATGTAGATAGAGCAAACACGTTAGAAAAGCAGTAAGTGAAAAATGGGCTAAAAGATAATACAAAATTGATAATATCGATGTTTGAATCCTTATTGTTTTCAAGCACGTAGGAGTGCTCTCAACACTATATTTGCTTCGCTTCCATACTATAAAAAATGTATATAAGAAAAAGCAATTCGTCTTCGAGATACACGAAAATAGAGAGGTCTCTTTTGGTACTCCAAAGCTCTATGTACAAATGATAAAACCAAGGTTTGATAAAATAAAAAAAAGGGATAAAAATAGTGTAGAAATATAAAAAAATAAATACAAATATTTACATGTTTCGACAAGTTGCTACGTCCACGGGTTAGTAAAGTTTTCTTGCCTAAAACAAAGTCTTTCAAGGCTCCCAAACGACAATCTATCAAAATTAAGTTTAAAACTTCACCTTTTGATGGTGCCACCCTAACAGTCCTTGGCCTAATTTTAATAAAATGTGAATGAAACAATGATGCAAAATTGTGAAATATGTCCACCATAGATATTCTCCATCCCTCCTTAATAATGCAAACCAACTCCAAACTCTAAACCATATTTTATTTTTCAACTCTTCCACCTCTATTGCAATCCCCTCAAAGATTCTTCTATTCCTTTCAAGCCAAAGTTCCCAAATGATAGTTGCACGCATTGTTAAATCTTCTCACCATAAGTTCAATATTCCAAACTGGCACTGTCTTGTAGAAAACCCTTAAAGCAATTCACGAAACAAGCAAGAACAAACAAACACAAAAGAAAGAGGCAACTAACCCTAACGCAAAGATATACTTGGTTCGGCAACGTACCTACGTCCACGGGGAGATGAGAGCTTATTTACTAACAATGGAAAAAATGGTTACAATGGCTCTCAGCCTCACATCTCTCTCTCTGTTTCCTGTTACAAAGAAATCTTTGTATTTCCTTAACCCAAAAAAAGAACCCCATTGCTACAATATATAGAGTTTTAGGTAGATGGTACAAATTACCGAAATACCCTATGTTCGGCCTTTTGGAATCCTCTATTTGACTCTACCTTTAACAGATATATTTCCTCAAAATACAAGACATCAATCCTCAACACGTGCCACACCTTCAACCAATTGAGCTAGATATTCTTATTGCGGCTCTTTTAAGTGGGGTGTTGCCAAGCCATTACCATGCAAAAATCTAGTCTTCATACCACTGCCCACTAGAATCCTACTATAATATCAAAACATGTTCCTTATTAAATTAATGGTATTCCGTATCATTGATGCATGGCCCCCAACACCGAGTCTTTTGCGGATGAAACCAATTGGGTCTATTCCATGTTTACTTCTGATGAAACCAATTGGGTCTATTACATGTTTACTTCTGATGAGGGTTTGCTACAATTGTTGTGGTTCCTGACTTGCCTCCACTACCATTTAGTGAGCAAAGTTTCCTTTTAAAGGTCGCAACTTTCTAATCCTGAAGCTCTTTTCTCTCTTAAGTAGGCACACTCTCTCCCATGTTACCAAATTGAATTTTCTACTTTCTTGCAAGCCACTCCATAAAAAGTTTCTCATTAAAGTTTCCAGTCTTTTGAATAAAAAGGTTGTTGCATCATATTACTATGCAACCGTCGCATGAAATCATTGCCCTACATAAGGAAGATCAATGATCTACTGCGACAGTTGTATCATAGTATAATGCAACGACACTTCTAAAAAAGCATGTTTGTGGTATTTCTAGTCAAGTCAGCAGTTCTTCCTATTGATCCAGTCGGGCCAGTTGCCAGCCCATCCATTCATCGACCCAAAGTTTTGCACATACACTCACTTCATCTAAATAATCATCCCCCCAAAAAAACAATTCAATTTCAACTGTATATATGGTCAAAATGAGTCCCCTCCAAAACGAATCTAGATCATTCATTTGGTGAATTTCAAGATATTGACCTTTATAAATTCAAATTCATTTTTTTGTTTTTTAACATTGTTCATCTAATGATAATAAAACCATCCAAAAAAATTGAAAATTCAAAAATCCTTCTAAGACCTAGATCTACGCATCTCACCAAAATGAACAGCCTATGTTAATTGGGCTAAACAAATGCTTTCTAGGTTGTGTTTTCAATTTTTTATTTTTTATAATAGTTTACTAGAATAAAAAGAGTATATATTTCAAAATTTGGATCAAACAAATGGCCATAACATGATTTTTAAAAATTATTGCATCATATTACTATGTAACTATTGCATGAAATCTCTCTATCACCAAAAAGTAGTAAATAGGAATATTGACAAGAGTGGACTGACCCTTTCTCCCAGAGTCAGATATCGGCTCTTCCGACCATCGAGCTTGTGCTCGAATCTCTCTATAACTGGATCCCATGCTGAGAGTGGGTGGCGACCTTCGGCGAAGGGGAAACCCTAAATACTTGTTGGTAGATGCTCAACCCCATAGTTAACCATCTTGCCCATTCCTGTACTTCCAGGTCAATACAGTTTATTCATATAATCTTTGTTCTGTGTAGATTGCATTTTGCCTCAAAAATACTTTCATAATATTCAACCAAAGGTTCTATATTTGGATACGTGTGGCTTTGGAACTATTCTAAAACACTTATTTTTCCGTTTCCAAAAAGGGTGTGGTTTATACAAGGTTGTAACCTTAAACGAAGGCGCACTTCCAAATTTTATCGTAAATATAATTTGGTGTTAAAATTTATTAGAATGGCTAGAGAATTTATTTTCATCTCTAATTATAAAATCTTAAACTCCAAAAATGGCTCAAGTAGATTTATAAACACTTCAAAATATTGAAAATGGACGGTCCAGATAATGTGTTACAAAATAAACTATTTTTACGACTCAAAATATTTTTTTTGAAAAATTATAAAAAAATATAACTTAAGTTTTAAATTCTTGGAAATAAACTCCAAACTTCTCAAAACCTCATATATACCCTTTTTTTGGGTGAGTTGACAAAAATAGCCTTCACGGTAGTCTTCGAACCATGAAGGTATCATGATCTATTGAAAACCGTGATGGTCATGGTGGGCTGTAAGTCAAATGTAATTTTGAAGCATCGAGGCACTTAAAGAACTGTGATGGTTTATTGGACAATCACGGTTCTAATTTAATTGTCACGGGGCATAAAAATTCTTAAGTGCCATGGTACTTCTTGACAACCATCACGGCCATTTAAGTGTCGTGATGCTCCAAAACATTAAATCGCCCATGACCATCACGGTAGTGAGTCTACCATGATATCTTCATGATCCTAAGACTACCATGAATGTTATTTTGGTCAAAAAAAATGCAAAAAGTGAAGAAAAAAGGTATGAATGAAGTTTTGAAAAAGTTTAGAATTTATTTCCAATAATCCAAAAATTAAAGAATATTTTTTATAATTTATCTTATTTTCTTTATTTCTATATTCATACATCTCGATGTCAAGATGATCAATTAGACTTCAATATCAAAACAACCTTTTATGATGGATTTTTGAGGTACAGCTTAATTCTACATTTTAAGGTTGCAACCTTATATAAACTCTTTCCTTTTCAAAATCTCCTAATTTGAAAGACACTTCTATAGCTGCCAATCCATTTAACCTCGCAGCAAGAAAATACTCGTTTTGCTTTAGTCGTGTTTAACTCATGTTAAAACACACCAACTCTGCCATCCCAAACTAGCCATTTTTTTCAGGAAAACATCAACATGGTTTTAAAAAGAAAAAACTGAGAGCTGCATTTGAAAAAAAAAAAAGAATGGAAAACTACAACACCAAACATCCTTTGAGATTAGGAAAGCATACTGTGATCCATATGACCCATAGAGATATTACGAATGCAAATGTTGTATATCACCATCCGATCAATGAATAGACGGAGATGAACATAGCAGTATTTATCACCTGGATCATTTTGTTTTGATGGGTCAGTCTCTCCCATCAATATCCATCTATCGATCCGACCGTCTTGACAATTATGACTATAGATTTTTCTATGATCATATGGATCATCACATACTTCCTCTTCACAATATGATATCCAATCAACCGCACTCATATACTTCCTCTTCCCAATATGATAACCTAATCAACCGCAGTACTCCCTGGAAACACTCCTCAAACCCCCCTGCTTTCGGTATTCCCCCCCCCCTATCATACCATCTAGAATTTTTAAACATGTTTTATCGGGGGTGGGGGTGGGGGTGGGGGTGGGGGGGGGGGATATCATAAAGTTGGGTAAAACAGTGCCCCAGTTATTGACGCCCAAGAAACAAAAGAATACCACTTTTCATTTTATTTATGAACCCTTTTGCTGTACAGTACTTATATCAAGAGGATGAATGCTACAATAGTGCTGCTCAATATTACAAAAAACCAAGCTGAACTCGTCTTACAAAACTGCTTGGATTGATCATGTTTTCTGTAGAAAATCCTCGAAATCATTCCTATAAATAGTCTTAGAGCAGCAAACAATACGAAAACGAAACTAGTGAACAACACAGCAAGGCTTCTGTTCTCAATATCGACTAGCTCAGCCTGAGCTTCTTCAAATTGCAATCTGGGATTCACAAAAAATAAACAAATAGAAACTGTGAGATTCTGAAAAGGAAACTGGGGAACAGATTTTTTTTTTATTCTTTTTGTTATCCATATGACTCTAAATATCTATGGTCATAAAAACGGATAATATAAGGAAAAATATACTATGATCCATATGATTATAGAACATCTATTAGAGCCATACTGTCCAATCAGTAGATGGACAGTGATGGAGACCCAGGTGTGTGTGTGTGTGGAGGGGGGGGGGGGTGGGTTTGGCAAAAATCTGACATGCCTCCATCACCATAGTGTGATTATTGGAGGGTGATGACACTAACAACCATATATTTTCTAGTCATATGGATCACAGTATACTTTCCCTAATATATAAAACTAACAAACAAGGATACATATATCTACTAAAACCATAATGAAAAATAAAAACTACAAACTCATCCATCATCAAGCAAAGTTATACATATATGGACTGATATCACTAAATTCATTGAATTGAACATTCTTGAGCACATTGAAAACATTGGGAAATTATACATTAAATGGTCATAATAGCCAAGCATAAATATTTTGGTACATTCAACCCCGACCAAACATTACAAGCTCCAAATAGAATAACCAAGTCTCAAATAGGTAAGCAATGTTTTCCAAATAGGAATGTTAATCTTTTGAGTGGTGTTGGATTTCTCTTGAGTGGTTTCTAAAGCTAAAATAGGAATGTTAATCTTTAAGCAATGTTTTGCAAATCTAGAATTGACACTAAGGTGCATTTATTAGAGTTGGTATCTTAGACACGGCCACATTTGTCAAAACTGGTAGAGAAAACTAACAAATTCAAAAGTGCCATGTTTATGAGACTCCTTGGCATTCTATCCATCATTCCAATTTCACCATTCAACTTCCATCTCTGATGACACAATATAAAGGAGAATCTCTGTTTAGCCCCTAATTGGTTTATTCTATCTATCCTGAAAAAATTACTTCCAGTGTTTCATGTATCCCCTGATTCTTCATCTTCCTCTCTCTCTTCCACTCCACCATTGGCCTCCAAATTCCCAACAAATCATAAGGCTATACTACAGAAACCATCCTATCCTAATAAAAGCTCTGTGCATATACATCACAAATTAAGTGACATGACTGCCTTCATCTCAAAGAGGCTCACATATAAGTGGTATCCATGCATGAAACAAGTTGGCAGGCACCCAACTGTAACTTCCACACACACGCACACTCATGTGCACACGCACATACACACACGCAAACAGGGATGCATAGGTGAATCCATGGAGGTCATCATTGAATGAGTTTAAAAATCAATCACTAAGGGATCCACATTCTTTAACATCATGCATCTGTGCTTTCTTGTGGCATCCCACCATGCCCAGAGTTGAATGTTTTATGACCATCAGGAGTTACACTAAGCAAGTACATTTCCAAGTCAGATATATCTATGATGTCCAAAAATACTATCAGACAATCACAACGCTAACTATTAATAATTTAAGCATCCATAAGCATGCATATCAAGCCCAGTGTATTTCTGCATCAGGTATTCCCACACTACAGAAGTAGATATGAAATGCATACCATTATCCAAAGGGGGTATGGTATATAGTATTCCGAAGATCATCCACCATCCCTTCCTGATGATAAAAATGAAGATTAACTGTAGTGGAGTCCACTAGGATTCCCCCATAAGTACAGGCAATATTCACTGTTCATCATCGGGACCAGAGGGTGGATGCCCTTCCAGATCACCACATAACCATACTCCATTTGGTTATAGTAGTCTTTTCCATGACATTGTCCAATGTTTAGTAGACTGAAATCAGATGTAATATAAGTTCAACAATTTCTTCAAAGTAGTGGTATGCCCCATTACATTGGATTATGGCATAATTTCCCAACCTGAAACTGCATAATCTGCACGACATTCTTAGAAACTTTCATTTGGTGTTTTTAATTTATGGACTATATGTAATATTTTTAATACCGTATGTTAAAGAATAATCACAAATGAGGTATTGCATGAAAACAGATCTCCTTTTGCCCATTCTATAGAGAACAGTGAAGAAAAATTAAAATAAAAAGACCTCAAAAAAGAATGATCCTAACCTAAGGAGCTCATTGTCTCTTGCCATTTTTTCCACTTGAGATGAAATGACAGACTTCCAGGAAATGAGCTTGCGAATGTCTTTAACCTGAGAAAAAAAGAAAATTCAAATAATTATGGAAATGAAAAGTAAATAAATAAATTGTGCCAAGGACCAAATTTGAGTTAAGAAATCAAGAAATCAGTGAGAAAAACTATGGTTTCAGGTATAGTTACATACCGAGATCTCTTTGATTTGCATCAGGTCATTCACTTGTGATTTGATATTGTCCAAAGCCAAGGCTTTCTCTGTGATTTCCCCATCGAAATCCTTAAACACAATCCCATATCTGTTGTTCAATTCTTCCAAGAATCGCTCCAAAACCGAGAAGTTGAGCTCCAAAGACCTCACTTTCTGCATTAAAATCTTAAGAACAGTATCCCCAGGCATCCTGCCAACCATATTTTTCTTCAACATTTCTTTCTTTGAGCCGGGCCCATCAGGTCGAGATTCATGGTCAATGTCACCTTGTTGAGACCCTGAAACTTTAACAGAGGAACCCTCAACCCCATCAAAAAGTTGGGTGAGCTCATCCTCACCACTATCAGGAGGCTCAACCTGTATCGAACCAGATCGAGACTCTGGTAATTCCTCAGACGCAAATCCATTTTCTGAATTTCTCATTTCGTCAAGCATGCTCTCAATAGCATCGACCCCATACACTTCAATTGCACTTAAGGTGCAATAAAACTCAGACCCATGATGACTAATCATGTCAAGCTTGAGATACCTGGCCCATTTAGGCTCAGGTAGTGGGAACCTTTGTGCATGCTTCACATGTCCTGCTTGGAAAGTGCCAAGAGGCATCCATGCCTCTGTCGGATAAACCAAGCTACTATGAATCTCAAAATCCTTGACATTAGAAGAATAGTGCTCGAAATTTGCAATGTCTATGGTGTCCACCAAGGTTTCCTCAGATAGTTCTATTATAACAAACTTGTTATCAGCTGAACAAGGGTTTCTAAGGTACTTATCCTTGTCCTTGTTCAGTATATTAGAGGCTCCCTTTGCTTCCTTGTTATAAGCCAAAACCTTGGCCCCCTTAGAAGAGGCAGCATAATTGTATTCTTTCCCACCCGGTTCTAATCTGTGAACAATGCCTTTACGGCGTCCAGATTCTGACTGGCCTTTGGAATTAATTGCTTTGCTTTTAAACTCATTGAGAGCTAAGGTGGCAACATGAGATAATCTGTTACTCTTTTGAGCTCCACGGCTTTCTTCAACTTTCAGTTCTGAAGAATTGGGGTGCTCTCCTTCTTCATCAGTGAGAACTTTTGAATCCAATGGAAGCTTTACAGGAGGTTCTAAATTATCTATCTCCATTGCTCCTTTCTCCTCCTTTGATGGACCATTGGCAATCCTCACAGTTTCATCCCCAGGCCAGCCCTGTTCATGATTGCTGACCAGTTGAGGAATATCAGATGGGTAATCTTCTCCACTAATCGGAGTGTTCCTATTGGATGGTGGTTCATCGATGGAGTTCTCTTCATAGTTCTCAATAACATCAGTATCACGGAAAAATGAACTCTGGGTTTTATTCTGGAATTCCTCCAGTGAAGTTTGAGCATTGGGAATTTCTCTCTCTAAACCAATTTCAAGTTGAAGATCAGATTCACAAAAATTTTAGCATAGCAACAATATTTGAATAACAGATCGTATGTTTTTTTATAGGAAAAGTATACAAAGAAACCATTTACTGTTACTACAAGGAGGTCACAATCATTGATGCCCATCAGATTTCAAATCAGATGGCTGTAAATGTTTCATTCATTACAATCAAAGTTCAAACAAAATCTCTCGAACTTTGTGACACACCCCAACCCATCCAATTTGACATCTGGTATTGTAATAAAGATAAATGGTCTCATAATATACAAATCCCTTTCTGACCAGAATGCAAGAGCAAAGGAAAACAAGATCGCCATGATTCAAAATTATGGTTTCCAGTTCGGTTTGGTTTCATTTTCAGTGCAGCAGTAGAGCTGGGCCCTTTCAGCTAGCCAACAGAATGAGAACAGTTTAAAATTGTCAAATGCGCTGAGCCACTTCACATAATGTTCCTTTGAAAGTTTAACCCCTCAACCCATTTAAACCAAAGATCTTGGGTGAAACTCAGATATGAATTTGAGATCAAATGGAAAAAATTGAAAAAATATATTTTTTTTTTGGCAGGATTTTTTTTATCAAAACTCAAGGAATAAATTAATGGGGCGTCTGCACCTTAAAAACACCTATTTTGGTTAGGAAACAAAGACAACTGATATCAAAAATCATGGAGACCATAACTTGAATCTACCAAGTTCAGTATTAGAGAGGAGGTTTTACCTCCGAAACCACCACTGTGACCCCTCCAAGACAGAAGCAGGAAAACAAGACCCCAAATAACAAATACCAGAGACAGCGATACCTTGTACCACTGTTTACTTTCCAGAGCTGCACTCTCTAGAGCTTTTGCTCTTTTTTGACGATTTTTGCGAGATCTCTGCATCTCTCATCAGTCCTAGTCCACCAGCTGTATCAAAAAAGAGATAGAGAAAATGATCTTTCGAGAAGAAACCCAAACATTTTATTTGCGTAACAGAAGTGAAGTAAAACACTAAGTTACATACATCAGGTGAAACCTCTCAAATACACTTACCATTAAGTGGGTGTTTCATATCCTATACAATCAAACTATATGAAAACAACACAAGAAAAGAAAAGAAAAGGTTGTTCTAGCTGTGCTCATAATCATGTCCAGGCAACAAAAAGAGAAATAAGAAACAGAATTGACAGGTGAACTAATGTACATTTGTATCCACTAAAAAGAGAATGCAGGTTGATATGCTTTCACAGGTGAACAGGAAAAACAGAAAAAAGAAAAGGGGACAGCAGCCAAGACATTAACAGTATGAAACCGCTTATCAGTGAAGCCTTTTTTCCTCAGGTATAAAAGTACGACAACAAAAATAAGAGAGAGAGAGAGAGAGAGAGAGAGAGAGAGAGAGAGAGAGAGACGAAGAGACACGAAGTACTACGTAGTAAAGTCGACTACGTTAGTTAAGGTAAGTTACGTACCTTACCGTAAGTAAAGTGAAGTACGTAACCTTACCCTT